TATTAACAAAGAAATGGTTTAATTTCTTATTAAAATCACAGAAAATTTTTAAATACATTTTTTGTGTGTTATATTTATGATGAATCTTCGATTTTCATGAAAGATGTCTCTATATAATATATAAAAATTATTATTATATTATTAAACACCTCACAATAAGTATTAGTAATATAGATAAGTCAAAAAACCTACATACTATAAGTCAAAAAAAAGGGGTGGGAACTAAAGAGTTATAAGATAAATTAATTTATACATTATAGATAAAGAATGTATATGATACAGGTTATATTTTCCGCATTCCTTTGAATTTTCTTATGGAGTACACAAAAGCCATGGTTTTCCATGACTTTTATGTGCACCACAGATAATACTTAGCTCCAAAATATGAACTTTCTGAAGTTTTCTATTTCTATATACAGGTAAACTCAGAACTAAAAGTGTTATGAGTAGATGAATTGAAGACACAAAGCAATCCAACACTTGCAAAACCTGCCAGAAGGAATGCCTCTAGAGAACACTTCCTATGAGACACTGCCGCTATTTATGTTCTAACAAATAAATTAAGGTTTCTTCATGTGGTTAGACACGTGAAGAAATCTGGACAACTCCAAGTAGAGGTGAGAACCCATTCAGTAGATTTATTTACTTTGGCAACTGTGGATTATGAATAGATGGAATACATTTATGCATTTTGTTAAATGGAGTCACCATTCATTACTATTTAACTAAATGCACAAACAGATGTGTTGTATCTATTCATATCCACCATAATAAAATGCACCATAGAGCTCCTTACAAGAGATTACACAATGAATCCAATGGACGGAGTAATTGTATTAATATACAGTGAAAACTGCTTAGGCGACCACCTGCATTCGACGGGCACCTGTCAAAACGGGCAAAAATTTCTGGCACGGAATAGTTTATTCATAGAGTCTTAGTATAAGTTACCTGTATTAAACGACCACCCGTGTAACGCGACCGCGGGCATCGATTTTTGGTTCGAAACAACATACAACACCTGTAATAAGCGACCACTTTCGCGAATGTATCTGGTTTAAACTATTGTAAGAACCCATCTCAACAACGTTTCCACCTGCTAATATAATGAATTAGTCTAAACTCTCGTTCGAACCCATCCCGGGCACTTCTCCCACCCTTGAAATTAGGTGCAGGTGTTAATAAATTAGTCTAGCAACAAAGGAAATTCATTTCAGTTTGTTGGAAAATGTCCGAAATGCAAAGTGCTGTCGTTAGAAGATCGTATTAAAGTTATCACAACAGCAATTAGCGGCGAAGTTTAACTGTGGGAAAACAAAATTTATTTTACCCTAGACCTACAGTATTTTCCTTGGGGGTGTAAAATATTGTACACGATACAATTAATCGGCTGATCTCATCGTTTGATAAAATCTATTTTTATTTATTTATTTTGAAGCTCATATACAGTACACGTGCGATAAATAGTTTCTGTATCAACCTACCTTATTTCCACGATATTTTTAGAAAAATAATATCCAAGTAATTTTCGCAGGCAAAATATTCAAAAAACAATAAACGCATTAATGCAAAAATCAGTTTTACTTCCTTTTTCGATTCCGCGATTGTAATGAAATCGTATAATGAGAAAAAATAATAAAATCGTTTTATTATTAATTAATAATTTTTCTTATTGTACTTAATTAATTAAGAAAATATTAAATATTAAAAAATACAGTATTTTTAAAGTTAAAATAAGATTAAACTAACGAAAACCAAAAGCAAAGTGATGGAGAGATAGGACGCGCTTGTATATTGATGACGTAATACACGTAACTGAGGAGCGAACGAAAAGAACCGAGTCGAATTAATTAAGTCGGAAAAAAGAAAGTGTGCATTATAATCGAGAAAATGCGACTATTGTATTAATCTTTAAAATATTGGTGTTAAATCTGTCTTATAATATCATGACGACTCCTGTAAATCGGGTTTTCCGATAAGAATAAAATACAATACCAATATAGCCCTATCGTTGAAAAAATTCGCTTATTTTTTGCTCATCTCGAGTTTTGCTTAGTAGAAATGGCTAAAAAGTGCGCAAAATACGTACGGAAATAGGGTATTACAGCACCACCTTTATTGGACGACCACCTGTCTAAAAGACCACTTTTTGAAGGAACCATGGGTGGTCGCCATAGACAGGTTTTACTGTATATGTTCGTGTAATTACTCATAATATATACTTACACCAACAGTGTTTCAACACGACGTCCTTTTTACTGAATCCTGACGATTCTTCAGATATTGAATTTCTCCAACAGTTGATACATGAGTCGACATGGACATTCTTTTCATTGTAAAATTATTCCAACTTCTCCCTTGTGAATCTTGACGAAGTTTATACCTCTGATACGATCTTTTCAGAAGATATAGGACCTGATAGTGTATAAAACATAAAAAAATCATGAAATTTTTCTATGTTTTAGTAAACTACAATGTCTAACTTATAATTTCTAACGTGTTTATGTATATATTATTACAAGATTATGCTTACTTCTCCATTGACGTAACAGAATATCACAGCAACTATCATCCCCTGTTCAAAGACAATTGATTAATGCTTATATTTTAAATATATATAATTAATTCTGTGTTAAACGGGATATTTTATACAGTAGAATTTTATGTTATTACCTGTAAACCATCCATTGCATGGCTAATATAGGTGTATGCTTCTAAAATCTCGCATCTTCCAGACTGTGGACGATATATTACAAGAGTAAAATGGACACCAAATAATGGAACTAAAATCAATGTGGCTCTAACGGCTTTCCTGTATAAAATTACAATAATTTTATTGTGTTCTTTATACATAATTTTTAAAATATAATTACTTACTTACCTATATTGACTGGGTTCATTAGCGTGGGTTGCTCGAAGCTTTGTAACTAAAACTTTAATTATATTGCAGAGGAATGCTAGATTTAACTAAAATACATAATTTAGAAATTAATTTATAGATTAATTAATTAATTATTAAGATAAAACAAAAAATATTAAATATACTAGAAGACTCAATAAGTTAGGAGTGTTCATTATCCATTCGTAAGTTTCTTCTGGAATTGCCCAGCACCTGAAATAATTTCTTAATTTCTTACAATGATAATAAATTTCTCATGTTATCTTAGTATAAAATGCAAAATTTATAGTGTATTTGTGTATATAGGAAGGCCCAAAACTCGGGTAACCATCTTTTCTTTCAAGAAAGGCACCAATTTATCGACAAGGTCTGTAACTTATCCGGTAAGTTTAGCATGTGGTTAACTGATTTTTGGACTAATTATATCACTATTATGCTGTAATTTATGCAGTAAACTCACCTTACATCCGAGTAGATCTTCCTCAACAAGACATATATACAAATTGGTATTACAGGAAAAGCTGAATACACGAGTAAATTATTAAATGTTTTATCTCATTCTACAAATGACTTAGAGCAAAATTCTACATACCCCATCCAATTAAATAAAACATAATGATGTCTTTCTGTTCTGCAAATGCTGCAGCAATTAGTTTATGCAAATAGAATCCTTCACAGAACATCCACATGTAATTTGTCATGCGAAAATATTTTGTAAGTACGAACAATATCTTGCATCCTATCTGGAAATTATTCATAAAATTACTATAAAATTCATAAAAATTTATAAAATAATAAATTAACTCACCCCATTAGCTTCCAAAATTGTATTTTCTTGGCTATTACTTTCGATTTCATTTAAAATAACAATGGATTTAAATAATATAACGAAAATACCATTGAGAAGTAGTGAAGCGAATAGGTGTTTATGCATTGTTATTCGATGCACCTGTAACTGTCTATTTAATTAAATGTATTTTTATTATTAAATTAAGCTAATTAATTAATAAAAACATATATATATATATATATTATCTTACTTATATACTATGAATATTATCAATGCAGGAATCAGGAAGACAATTGAAATACCGTAAGTTGCAATGTGGAAGTACAGTAATCTCCTTACTTCCTGAAAAGAAAATAATTAATTTTATAAAATGGAAGCCTGTAAGTGATAGAATTTATGTACTTTCACCCACATCAACACGTCCACAGTTTCCATAATTAGTCCATTCGTTGTTGTATTCATCATTAACATACCAAGTACCATTTGGCCAACATTCCTTTATTGCATAACCTATACAACATTACATAATTTCGTCAATTTTATATATTAGGGATGCAAAATTACAAGTTTTTAATCGAAAAATCGTATTTATTTACGTGAACAAGCCGGTTGTTCGCTCATAAAATATACGTGTCCAGCACACGGGGCAATAGCAAATGTTCCAGATTGGGTATCAGGCCAACACTGCCAACCATCCCACGTCCTTGGGCAGTATAATCCTGTAATGATTAGGGGTGATGTAACATATAATATACTCGATTTTACTTTAAAAAATTTACCTTCGGAGGGTTGAGGATTTTTTGCCATTTCTTCGCAACAATCCAAAGCTGTTCGACAACACACTGCCCATTTTTCGAAGAATTCCTCAGAAATTAATGTCGATACAATTGGAGAACTTGTGTTATTTGGATCAGGTATATACGGTGTATTATATTCAGGATCGTACAGGTATCCATCTCCTTTATACCTGTAATAAAAAGTATTCATTGAAGAAACACTAGTTGTTCCTACGCTATATAATAGAAACACGTAAATTAGACTCCTTACACGAATTTAAAGCTCAAATTAGGGAAGATCCAATCTGGTAAGTAATCGTAGCATCTTGCACACGTATCGTGGCGATAGAATTCACGATTTAGAGAAACTCCTCGTTCGGTACGACACAATACATTACCGTTAACACTTGTATTTGTGTTCAGATTATCTAAATCCATTTCAATTGAATGTGATAAAACCTGTAAAATTATTTTTAAATCATTGTATAAAATTCCTGAAGAAATTTATACGTTGTATATAACTAATAAAACATTTCCTAAAGTCAAAAATAATTGGCTAATTGTTGTACAAAATGAAAAGGAACGAAGGATCTACGTGAGATTTTAACACAAGTTAGTTGTATAAGTTTAATAGGTCAATGATAGAAGGTGTCACCAATGTCAGACTTGTCGTTAGTGTAAAATATATGTTAACACTTATAAGGAAAAGGTGTACATTTACTACAGCAGGGACGTTAGGATGGACTTGATGGACTCATTCATCAGTAATTAACAATAAACTGAAGTGTTATGTATAATCAACACTGTACACTGGAGATAAGTACACGTAAAGGTGAAGAAAATAAAAAAGGGAAATTAATTTTAAAGTGGGTTACCTTCTAAAAAAGAAGGTCATTGTAGGCTTTGTCAAGCGTAGAAGTCAGTTATATAAGTTGTTGCTAGTAATGATGTGCTTGAAGTTGTTGCAAAATTTAAAACCTGTCGAAATTTACTTCGACATTCGACTTTATCACATATAATTCTTACCCGTTTCCTAATGCGTTTATTATTTATTAAAATGCTAAGTAATTGTAGTTTAATAAATACTCGACGTGATTACAGTCAAATTTAATAATGAGAAATTAAGATGTAATTAATTGTCGATAAGCTCTTAAAATACAATTCTGTAGTAAATAATTGTGACTATAGAAAAATATTTCTATAGTACTACAGAGATGCTTCATTACTATATATAAGGATGTTACATTAGTTACTATAAATATACTACATTAATGATTACAGGAATGTTATATTAGTGACTATAAATAAAGGCTATAAAGACGTTACATTAGTGACTATAAGGATGCTACAGTAGTGGCTACAGGGATGTTAAATTAGTGGCTACAGGGATGTTAAATTAGTGGCTACAGGGACGTTAAATTAGTGACTATAAAAATGCTACATTAGTGACTATAAAAATGCTATAATAGTGACTACAGGGACGTTAAATTAGTGACTATAGAAATTATACATTAGTGACTATTAAACTGCTATAATAGTGACTACAGGGACGTTAAATTAGTGACTATAGAAATTATACATTAGTGACTATTAAACTGCTATAATAGTGACTACAGGGATGTTAAATTAGTGACTACAGAAATGATACATTAGTGACTATAAAAATGCTATAGTAGTGACTACAAAAATGCTATAGTAGTGACTACAGGGATGTTATATTAGTGACTATAGGGATATTACAGTAGTGACTACAGAGATGTTACATTACTTACTTCAGGAACGTTACATTAGTGACTATAAAAAGTAAGTGTTCTGTTGTGTGGTGCAGTTACACTTGAATATAAATCATAAATTGAGTTTAAGACAATGATTTTTATTTAAAACAATTAATGAAAGCAATAAAATATTTGACATTTTTCCTGTATAAATGGCATATAACCGACAAAAATATTAGGATGAGAATAAAACCTTCGCATAACCTATTTTAACTTATACCCTGTGACTATGGGTGCAGCTGTTCCATTATATGTATAAGTTTGTATCTGCAAAGTGACAATATAATACGCATCCGTTTATAAATCGTCGTTTAAACCTATCCCGTGGAAAATCCACACGAAAATAAAGCAAAGCACTCGAAAAAACAGCAATTTTCTCTCTACATTCACTACTTGTATAATACATATAATACTTCTTTACTTGTGTTTAGATAGGCTCGTCCTACGTTACGTTACGTTACGTTACGTCTGGTTAATGAAAGAAAACATTATATCTAATGACTTAAAGCCTTCTTTCATTAGTTAGAAGTAACGTAAAGTAAGAAAAGTGTCTGAACTCAGATGCATAAGCAAGCCAATGATATTGCTCGTTAAAAATAAAATGTTGGCTGTTAATTATATTATATTATATTATATTTACGAAGAAATAATTGTATTAGCAATAAAAAAACAACAATAAATTACCTCATTTCTTTTACCTGAATGACAATAGCAAAACAAACAATTGATATATAATGATGTCCCATGTGTAAACCAACAAAAGATATTTATTTTTCACAATACATCAAATCCCATTCTTCACTAATCTCTCCTCTCTCCAACCGAAGATGCTCAGAATTAGGATAAATTCGTGATTCCTGGAAAAATAATACACGAAATAAGCACATACACTATAAAATTATGCTTATAAATAATTAAATAAGTTTTCGACATCCGAACCGACCTACAGGACGTACTGAAAGAAATAAATGTATGTAAACTAATGTAGATTTATTGTTGAAAGTATAATTAATGCGATGACCTTTATTATGTTTAATTATTTTATAAATGATGAGAGGAGAATGATGATCCAACATCATCATCCTCATCATTTATGAAATAATTAAATGATGATGATGAAGATGATAATGATGGTGTTGTATCCTCCTCCTCCTCCTCATCATCATCATTCTCAACGTCATCATCCTCAACATCATCATCCTCATTCCTTACATCCTCAACATTATCATCTTCCTCATCGTTTATGAAATAATTAAATGATGATGATGAGGATGATTATGATGATGTTGTATCCTCCTCCTCCTCCTCCTCCTCATCATTATCATTCTCAAAGTCATAATCCTCATCCCTCTCATCCTCAACATTATCATCCTCCTCATCGTTTATGAAATAATTAAATGATGATGATGAGGATGATAATGATGGTGTTGTATTCTCCTCCTCCTCCTCCTCATCATCATCATCATTCTCAACGTCATCATCCTCAACATCATCATCCTCATTCCTTACATCCTCAACATTATCATCCTCCTCATCGTTTATGAAATAATTAAATGATGATGATGAGGATGATTATGATGATGTTGTATCCTCCTCCTCCTCCTCCTCATCATCATTATCATTCTCAACATCATCATCCTCATCCCTCTCATACTCAACATTATCATCCTCCTCATCATTATCACGTGATTATCAATCACGTGATAATGATATGAATACGAAATAAAAATGAAGGTAATTAACTTAATTAAATATTATTAACTACAGCTGTTAAGTTAATTGTTTATTACTTTTAAATTACTTAATAATAAGCGTTTTTATTTCTTAATCTTCTGCTTAATTAGTCGATTAATCTTTATTATTTACTAAACATTAACTCTTATTCATCCTTTAAATTCGGTAATAAAACAAGTAATGTTTAAAAAATATCTCGACAGATGGCGGTACGTGAAAATTAATTTAAGTAAAAGTGTTTTATTTTTTTGTGACGTAATTTAAAATTCTAATTCACGTCACAATGAAAAGTTTCCTGATTAATTAATGTATATTCAGTAAAAATATAATCAAGTGTGTGAATGGGGACACTCCTTTATATTGATGATGCATTTTACGAAGTAAGAAAGACTAAACTGAACTTATTACTCTAAAAATTGCATCAGGAAGGATTTACCCTTTTGTCGCACGTAATTCGTCGAAGAAATAATTCCCGGTATCCACGTATGTTAGTCATGATGATAAATTTACAGTCGACCCCCCCTATAACACTGTTGATAATTCTGTTTTATATGAATTCCATGTTATACGAGTCACTTAGATTTTACATATACGTCAGCCGTTTACAGCCCGGCACACTTATTTGTAAAATCTAAGTGACTCGTAAAACATGGAATTCATATAAAACAAAATTATCAACAGTATTATAGGAGGGTCGACTGTATTGTTAAAGATGACGGGAAGGAAGATGAAGAGCGCTTACTAATTGTTTTCGGATAGGAAGAAGAGAGAGGAAGTGGATTAAAGTTCGTGTGAAGAGGGTGAATCTCATGTTTGTGACCAAAATTATTGTATCACGAGGAAGATTGTGGGAAAGGAATATGCTTATTGGGAAGACGGACTAGGAGAAAGAAACAAAAGTAGTGGTATATCGTGATAAGAGGAGAGAATGAAAAGGGAAATAAGAACAGAGAACGAGAACGAGAATGGAGTAGTCACATTTTCATCAAATGAGTAGAGAAAAAGTGAGTATATTAGTCACGTCTTCATCGGAAGAGTAGAGAGAGAAAGCGAGGTCTCATTTTCGTGAAAAAGCAGAAAGAGAGAGAGAGAGAGTAGTCACAGCTTCATTAGAAGACTTTAGGAAAGTCACATCTTAATGAGAATAGTATAAAATGAAGATAAAAAGATGTTACGTATTAACGAAAAGAGTAGAGAGAGAGAGAAAAAAACAAACTAGTCACATCTTTATTAAACAGTAAAGACTAAAGAAACACAGAGAGAAAAGTCACATCTTCATCAGAAGAGTCGAGAGTGAGTTATTATTAAATTTTATTAAATAAATTTCCGTATATTTCTATTAGATTTAAAGAAATTTGGAGGAAAAAAAAAGACGAGGAAGAGAGAAGATGCTGCAAGATATTAAAAGGGATAAATGAAGAAAAATAATAGCAGTGGAAACAAATTTACAAGGCTGATGATGATGATTTATTACACGAAAAAGTAAGAAACAATTATAAATTATAAAACTTTTACAATTCTATAAATGATTAGGCCTATATATTATTAAATAAAATACCTTTAAAAGAAACATCAGTAAAAGGAAAATGCTTATTATTTAATAAATTACATTATTAAAATATCTTATATAATAAAATTTTCCTGTTTTAAACAAAAAGACAACCTTTGTAATAATAACTTATGAATTATTTCCACATCAGCAACTCGTTTTACCGCATATTTCTCTATGAAAATGTAAGAATTATTAAGTAATATAACTTATTTATATGTATATGGAGAAGAAAAGAAGCTTCTTCTTCCTTGCTAAGAAGATAAAATTTATAAAGAATTTTTATCTTCAAAGTATTGATCAACATCTACCAAGATATACTACAAAATTAATTAATTTATATGCCGTAACGATAAATTGAAATTGCTCAACATCATCAACAGAAACAACATAATTAATCTGTAAGCTGCTATATAAACATCATTTAGTTTATTTTAAAAGAAATTTTTATTTATGTCCATTTATTTTCATGTAAATCTATGACATTTAAGTATATAAACATTCATTTTAACTCTCTATAAATTGAGTAGGAAGGTATTTGTGCGTGGGTTTTTATTTAAACTTTATTCATTTATAATACGAACTGGTAAAAATAAATATAAATTTTATTATATTTTTCCTGCATTTTCTAAATTTAAGAAGAATTTTTCACGTTTCTTAACTTAATGTTCTTAAATTTAAAATAGCTGACTCTATTAAAACTATAGGTATTTTTCTATAGGCTCAACACAGAGCCCCATGTTGCATCTAGTTATATAATATGAGGCTCTATCTATACATACATATTTAGCCTTATTCCCTTTACGTCTATCTTGAGGAACATGTAATAAGGAAATTAAAATGGAGGGTATTCCAGAGACTTTTGTCGTTCAGGTTCCTAGGAAAATTTACCTGACCTCAGAGTTCGTTTCAAGAAGAATTTTGCCATTAAGGGGAGTAAAGTCCAATTATTAACCTATTAAGAGTAGGGTGGTTCATTTATTAACCATTAACCTTTGATTTTCTTGAAATTTACAGGCAAGATTTACGCTATACCTCTACCATTTGTAAGATCTTTCACGTGTAGATTAACTAGTGTTCTTTGTAATTACTTGTATCTACATCCCCATTATCACGAAGGCACTTTTCTAATGACAGGGATACATACACCAAAAGTAGTAAAAAGTCTGTTGTATACAGCCTACCTCTCAACAAAGGATTCCAAGTTTCTATATTGGGGCCAATACTAGAGCGGTCTGTAAACGTATTAACAAATATAAAAGAGATATTAACACTGCATTAGCGAACTTAACAGTTAATGAAGGGTTTAACACTTAATTAGAACAGTGTCAAAACAATATGCACACCTTCTAAGCCAATCACTTTAATTAAGATTCTAATTAGATACAATAGAGCTTGTCGTTAGAGATGGCCGTTGTTGGGAGGTTAGACTGGACTATACTAATTAAATATTTTATTTTATATTGTTGTAATGGAGACAGCATAAAACAGCAGATATCAGTGTGTTGGAAAGTTATTAACTAGTAAGGGTGGTAGGATCCAATTATTAACTATTAAAAGTAGTAGGAATCATTAGGATCTTACCACACCCGTTAAGGTGTGGTAAGATCCAATTATTAGCCATTAAGGATGGTAAGATCTCATTATTAGCAGTTAAGCTGTGGTAAAATCCAATTACAAACTACAAAGCACTGGTGATGAGTTTAAGCCTGAACAACAGGTTAAACACGTCGGATTTTTTTCACATATCTACACCTAACAAAAGTTATTTTTCCATAGAAACTCCTCTGTGAGGCACCCCCCCCTTTGGCGATTTGCCAAGGGGATGTTTTCAGCTTTACAATCAACTATTTAAAGCTTTTATAAAGTCATATTCACTATATTAAATTCAAAATTTTATATTTAAAACTTTAATGTAGTTTTTTTTTTCTATACAGATAAATGCGATTAACTTATTTAATGTCTTAAGTAACTTAGTTAATTATAATTTTATTTCTAAAGAATTTTTAAACAATGTTCCCTTCCCCCTTTGTTTTTTTTTAAATTCAAACTTTAGTCAATAAGTTTTACAAGAGATTCACGTCCTTGATGGATGACCTCCTGCTGTTCTTACTTCTTGAATATTGGTGTCAATGTCGTGACGAAATTCCGCTTCCTGTCAAAGGAAACTAAAGGATTATGAAATAAGTATTTTTTGCTGTATGTTTACGTTACTACAATATCAACCGACGAACAAAACAACTTCATTTTCATCCCTTTAAACGATCTATTTTAAAGTTTTCTTTTTTTATTTCCTATTTTATCTCTGACCTTATTGATTTATTGGGAAAATCTGAAACAAGATTACTTTACACTCGCGTGCCACAAATTTAAAACAATTTTAGGTCAGTTTAAACAGTACAAAACCTCAACACTACTTAATTCTATTTACATTTATATTAAGTGAAACATCTCTCTCGCAACTCTGATCTAATTATAATATCAAAAACTTATTATAAATTAATTAAGATTAAGTTTAAGTGACGGTTCTAGGTCTCTGCGGGCATAGGCAGATATAGATTTTCTAGGCCATTTTTTATTAATTTTATATAATAAATATATTGCATCATACTATATTTGATATTATGTAAGTTCCTTGTAAGTACATGATTTAAAAAGTTGAGCAAAAATTGAGTTTTATTGCATACCTGACCCGTAAAGAGTCGGGTCGTAGAAGATGAAATTCTCATCATTTTCTATAGGGTGCTGCAAAACCTTACTGTCTGTCAGTGCAGTACCCTTACTGCACTGACAGACAGTAAGGTTTTGAAGTAGGGATAGTGCAGTAAAGGTAGTGGGGGCCATACTTTTTCGAAAACTGCACGACTGAGTCTGACTACTTGCACATAATAAAGGACAACCTGCTACTAGAAATCTGGTATGAAAGGTTACTTTAATATTTTTTTGGAGCACCCGTGTATGTGGAAATAACACCAGTACTATTCTACGCTTATATCTTTACTTATTTATTAATTAATTAGCATCACACTTTTAAGTTTAAACGATGGTTTCCACTCATAAAAGTTCGTTTTTCGAAGGTGTTTTTTAGATCTAAACTTCCTTAAAATTACTACTAAAATCTTTTAAAATGAAAATTTCATCTCCTCTTTAGCAAATTTTTCAGAATTTTAAGTGAATAATACATTTTCTGATGCAGAAAAAAGTAGCAGAAAATATTCCTTACCTTAGTTTCTATGAGACTAAACCACTCATCTCGCTTGATGCTACTGATACCTTTCTCCAAACGTCTATACAATATCTTTACTGTCTTCACACAATAAGAATGTGGCTCCATCTGGAAGTGATTATTAAAAATCTTTAAATAAAATACTTGTAGAAAGTTAACCCCCCCTCATGCACACGAAACTATACTTTAATAGAATTTAATAAAACGATTGCAAATATATGCTTCATATTAAAAATATTTGCAGTCAATTCCTCGAGGGTGCTTTACTAAATAGTGCCATTCTCGTAAGGTGCTAATTAACACTTATGTTAATTGACCTTTTTATGTAATGTTAAGTCACTCACTCTGTTTCTTGTGACTCCACATAAAAGTTTACACGCATTGCAAGAAGTCAGAGGTCACTATAACTACACATAGGATAAACCAGGTGTTTTATAAGTAAAAATAAGGGAATGTAAGCCTAGGACCATCGTTTCATTGTCCATGCATGTCCTCACGTGACTCATGGGACACACACTGCAGAACAGTGTCTGGGAATTACTAAATGGACAATTTTACAACTGATGTCACCTTGCAGATCTTAAATTTCGTGTAAGTCTCTTCTTGAGTGTAGGTGTAACACTCGATTTATTGCTTGGTTACTCTGTATCGAGGTTTGAGTGTAATAAATAGTAATTTGTAACAAAAGAAGATTTGTTTTCTCTTAAAATAAACATATCTGGAGCCATTTATTTTAATTTGAAAGGTGTTTATCTGATAATACAGCATTAACACTCGACTGTATGTTCTTGTATTTTGCATCGTCTTGATAAACTGAAGGAAAGATATACAGTAAATATTTATTGTACAGGATGGCCCATAAGTCAAGCAATCGAGGTTATTTGTAAAACATTAAAACAATTTAAGAATAATAATAATAATATGCAGAGGTTGCAAATTGAGATAGTTTGGTTAATCGACTTTTGGGCTACCTTATAGTAGTTAAAAATGACGTATGTAAGGTGTAATATCAACTGGTACATTTAATATTAATACTTTAAAATAATTTTTTTTTCTAAAAATTATAATTGTTAATATTAAAAGTATTCTTTAAAAGAAAGGTTATTAAATTTTAAATTATTTCACTTTAAGTAGATAAGATGGAGTGGATCTTCAGCTTGTATCTTGTATGGGTCTTCAAACAGGCAACAAGTACCTCGAGTGGATCTTCAGCGTGTATTTTGTATCGATCTTCAAACAGGCAACAAGTACCTCGAGTGGATCTTCAGCGTGTATTTTGTATGGATCTTCAAACAGGCAACAAGTACCTCGAGTGGATCTTCAGCGTGTATTTTGTATGGATCTTCAAACAGGCAACAAGTACCTCGAGTGGATCTTCAGCGTGTATTTTGTATGGATCTTCAAACAGGCAACAAGTACCTCGAGTGGATCTTCAGCGTGTATTTTGTATGNGCTCCTGCTTTATGATCTTTTACACCTTTACGCTCCTGCTTTATGATCTTTTACACCTTTACGCTCCTGCTTTATGATCTTTTACACCTTTACGCTCCTGCTTTATGATCTTTTACACCTTTACGCTCCTGCTTTATGATCTTTTACACCTTTACGCTCCTGCTTTATGATCTTTTACACCTTTACGCTCCTGCTTTATGATCTTTTACACCTTTACGCTCCTGCTTTATGATCTTTTACACCTTTACGCTCCTGCTTTATGATCTTTTACACCTTTACGCTCCTGCTTTATGATCTTTTACACCTTTACGCTCCTGCTTTATGATCTTTTACACCTTTACGCTCCTGCTTTATGATCTTTTACACCTTTACGCTCCTGCTTTATGATCTTTTACACCTTTACGCTCCTGCTTTATGATCTTTTACACCTTTACGCTCCTGCTTTATGATCTTTTACACCTTTACGCTCCTGCTTTATGATCTTTTACACCTTTACGCTCCTGCTTTATGATCTTTTACACCTTTACGCTCCTGCTTTATGATCTTTTACACCTTTACGCTCCTGCTTTATGATCTTTTACACCTTTACGCTCCTGCTTTATGATCTTTTACACCTTTACGCTCCTGCTTTATGATCTTTTACACCTTTACGCTCCTGCTTTATGATCTTTTACACCTTTACGCTCCTGCTTTATGATCTTTTACACCTTTACGCTCCTGCTTTATGATCTTTTACACCTTTACGCTCCTGCTTTATGATCTTTTACACCTTTACGCTCCTGCTTTATGATCTTTTACACCTTTACGCTCCTGCTTTATGATCTTTTACACCTTTACGCTCCTGCTTTATGATCTTTTACACCTTTACGCTCCTGCTTTATGATCTTTTACACCTTTACGCTCCTGCTTTATGATCTTTTACACCTTTACGCTCCTGCTTTATGATCTTTTACACCTTTACGCTCCTGCTTTATGATCTTTTACACCTTTACGCTCCTGCTTTATGATCTTTTACACCTTTACGCTCCTGCTTTATGATCTTTTACACCTTTACGCTCCTGCTTTATGATCTTTTACACCTTTACGCTCCTGCTTTATGATCTTTTACACCTTTACGCTCCTGCTTTATGATCTTTTACACCTTTACGCTCCTGCTTTATGATCTTTTACACCTTTACGCTCCTGCTTTATGATCTTTTACACCTTTACGCTCCTGCTTTATGATCTTTTACACCTTTACGCTCCTGCTTTATGATCTTTTGCACCTTTACATTTCGAACCTTTACTCTTTCACATTATGATCTTTTACACATTTACATTTCGAACCTTTTACACCTCCTCCCTATTTACAACTTTGATGCTAGAGCTTTATATGTATAAACTAGGTTTCCTGATGTCGAACGTAAGCTGTGTTTCAAAATTTTACGGTAGATTTAAAATCATATTTGGAACCATCTGTTATTGAAAACTATGTATCTATAGTTACACATTTATTGATAATAAGCTGTCTACGCTATACATGCGATAAAATTACATTAAACTGTCATTCTGTGAGCACCGGAAAGACCTTATACATGCCTATTTTAAATTTAGTAAGGCTTTCAGTTAGGAAAATGGCCCAACCTATACTAGACAGACAGGTAAGGAAACCTACCTGATCGTTCTCCCTGAGATTAGCAGAATAATGCGTTGACTGCTTCCATTCAAAATTTTTATTTTAAGAAACTATGTAGCGAACTTTGTTACCGTGACCTTTCACCTGTCAAAAAACTTATTATTTTTGACAGGTAAAATATTATTTATTAAATAAAGTAGGGACGTTATTAAGGCCCACCAAGAGTGGTGTCAAAACACTGTCCAAACTTAGTGGACCATAATGGGGTCATATACTTTAAGTGATGTTTGTGGTTTAAAAAAAAAATTATACAATTTTACAATTTATATTTATATAAACATTTTCGGTAAAGAAGAATGTTTGGCTTCTCATATAAAGTCAACATTACTAACGAAGTACGTAACTATTCTCACATTGCTGCATACGAAATATTGGACTTCGTGCCTTACCACTTAACAACCCCCATTGTGGGCTTGAATCACAGAGTTAGACACTTTCTCATTGACAGTTTTCACGTGTCTAACATCTATTTAGGTGTTAGGCACGTGAATAAAATCCGGAAAATTCCACGAGGCTAGCTAGTTTATGAGGTTCGAACTCGCGATAAACTACCAATTTTTAGTGGTGTTGTTTGTCACTCAGCCACTCATACAGCAGCTGTTACTTTAATTATATTTTACTTTTCTCTTCTATTTATAATTTAATGTAGCAGCTTCCAGTTCAGATTTCTTATATTTTACTTCCCTTCTGGACATTTTATGCACTTACATTTTCTTAGAAAATTGCTTAATGTGACTTACTTTCCCTTTAAAATTATACTATTCAGGCAAAGTGAAAGAATATTACTTTCACTTTTTTTTTGCACTTTTTAAAAAATATTAGGGTCTTCTTATGTACAGTAAAACCTGTGTAAACCGAAATTTTATGTACCAGTTTGGCATGTTTCCGTTTTAAACAGGTTTTTCTAGATCAATTTCAAATAATTATTTCCGTCAAGACAGGTTTTACTGTACATAAAGTTTTCCCCCTATAACACTGTTGATAATTCCGTTTTATATGAATTCCATGTTGTACAAGTCACTTAGATTTTACAAATACGTGTGCCGGGCTGTGAATGGCTCACGTATTTCTAAAATCTAAGTGACTCGTACAACATGGAATTCATATAAAACGGAATTATCAACAGTGTTATAGGGGGGGGTCGACTGTATTAAAGTTAATTTGCAATATGAGTGAGCTCGTTAGGAGGTTGATATGAGAAATAAATAGAGAAATTCTACAAATAATTAAATCGAGATGTAATTTAGAAAGGTGAAAATTAACTAAAAAGGATGTAAATGAATCGAAAGTATATTATAAAAGTGAGAAAGTGGAAGAAATCGATAACTTGGACAATATAAAAGGAGAGAGAAGTGAAGTGTTAATGCTTTCAGTTCAATATATTTGATAAAATACATGCTGAAACCTGATTTTATTATTATAAATTTCATATTTTAAAGTAATAAAATTAATAAAGTACTAAAAATTATGGACTACAACACATTATAAGGTTTAAAATGTAAGGAAACAAACGTAACATTGATTTTTACTTCTGTATTAAAGATTAAATTGCTTTTACTTTCGATGTCTGGAGGATAAAATAAATTGAACATCCGAAGCAGAAACTGCAAACGGAAATTTAGCAGTCAGAATACAATAGAATATGAAATGGTGACATTTTTAGACAAGCGGGATACATTTCCTTAAATAAAAATATTAGTTACAAAAGTCACCACTGTGGCACTTTTGGCACTGGAAAATACTATATTTGCATAACACATTAATACACAGAAGTGCAGAGATGATGGTTCATGTGGAGGTTTAAAATATGAAGGATAAACAGTGTCGCACTGCACGTGAGAAGCATTCTCACTTTCGTAATGTAAAGGTGTAAAAGGTTCGTGATGTAAAGGTGTGAAAGGTTCGTAATGTAAAGGTGTGA